TATTTTCCCTTGCCAATGTATTTTTATTCTTTTCTCTTTGTTTTATTTTCAGTCATTAGGCATGAGTTGAATGTGCAAGCTCGCATCCCCCCTTTGTACAAAGCATATGCCAGTTTAGATGCTTTAGCTTACAAAAGTTTTTTTGGGGGTGGATTAAGCTCTAAAAGAAGTTAAAATAGCAAGAATGCATCAATCATCTTGATTTTTTATTATGTTGGCTGAAAAAGCTAAATCGCCATTGGGAAATGAAGCATAGTTCCAGGAAAATATTAATATCTCCAACAATGCAGTTTGCGCTTGATCCATGATCTAAGGAAGTCAATAGCGCACACTATAGGAGTCAAAAAAATAAAAAATAAAAAAAACAAGGGGGGGGGGATGGCAAGAGAAATGCGTTTTGAATTAATTTGTGAACTAACCTGCTATTTCTGCAACTTCGGATCTGAATGCCAATGGATTATATAACAGATAGCCTATAAGCAATGCTGCATAACAACAATGAATGTTAGAATCACTAAGAAAAACAAAATCATTTAATTTCACGGACTTCCACATTCTAATCTAGTCCTTTTAATTTCTGCCGCTCAAGCAAGTAGAGCATTATTCTAATGCATTTTCTTAAAACAATTAAGTACACAACAAAGATCAAAATGTTTAATGACATGCCTTTTCATAGAACTTTCAACTAACTAGACTGAATCTGAAGCCAAATCCACAAGAAGTGAAGATGAGGAAGAAAATCCAACTATAATTGGTTTAGAATGACCGAGTTTGTCATATCTACTTCTTTTCTTCTTCTTTTTTCTTTCTTTGATATGTGAACTGCATTTGATAAGAACAAATAACATGAATAAATGCTCATATGAAAATTTCATGAAAAATGCTTGGAGCACTAAAATTAGTGCTCCACTAATTAGGTGGCAGTGGGATTCGCATTATGATGTGATGTTTTGGTCTTGGAGTTGGTATTTTTTTTTTTTTTTACTTTTTTAATGATTAGTGCTATTATGGTGTGTTTTTAGTGGATGAAACGATGACAATTATTCACTCGACAACGAGAATGGTTTTCTGCGTTATGTGATTTAAATGCCTTTTTCTTCCGAATTTCTTGGTTTTTGTACTTTTTTTCTATTACATATGAACACAAACACAAGATAATTTATTAATTAACAAACATCATCTATGAGATTTAACGATAGGAGTTAATAAACATTTAATGATACTGTGCCTTGAGTGACCCAATAATACGACTAAGCTTCGCCATTGATGCTCATCAGTTACTCTTTCGGGCCGATGTAGTTAACCTATCCGTCATCGTTGTCGAATGGCGTATACCCATTGTTTAACCTTATAGCCTTCCACTTCTCTCATTTTTTTGCAACGATGCAAAACAAAATTTCTTCATTGTTTTGACGTCGTCGGCATTTTGTTTGACACCTCAAAATAATTTGGCAAACTTTGTGACTTATTGTATACAACACAGAGCAACAACGATACACCGCTCGCATACAACAACAGCAAGAATTTTCCCTCTCTTTTATGTATCGTATACATACCATATATATATATTATAATATAGCTCTACGCATACATATCATTGAGGTTCACAGTTTTTTGTGCTCGAGTGTGAACTTTCGAATTCTCTATGTAAAAAGATGACAGTTACATTTCACTAACAGAGACGTCAAAATCAAAGCAAAAGCATTTGATATCAATGAAACTGTTTAATATAGAAAGTAACAAAACAAGATTATGCCATATTAGTGTTTTATAAATGTTTTGACTCGTGATCATAGACCCTAAAAGACACAAAGATGCAGAGTAAACTAGAAGAATGAGAGCAGATGATTTGGAATTATGTTGCTTTCGGAAATGGAGTCAAATGAGATTCTAAAGTTAAGAAATACGACAAAAATGTTTCAAGTTTTTCAAATACAAAAAAAGTTAATTGGGTAGGCTTTTTGATTCTTGGTCTTCGAGGGTTTTGGTTGTGTGCTGTTTAATATTTAGTATTATTTGGGTGTTGCAGCGCAACACACAGGCAGCAAGCCTAAAACATTTGAGTTTAACAGCTCGCATCACAATTTGACACCAGCATTAGAAAGTTAAAGAAGAGTCCTGCAAGGACTGCCACTTCAGCACTTTAGAAGGTAAAAATTCAATACACATTTCAACAGTTCTCAAAATTCATACAAACATTTCAAAGTCTTCATACACTTTTATATATTTCTATTTACATTTTCCACATTTATACACATACTTTATGTACCACTCCAATACGCGTGGTTATTCATAAAATTAAGAGGCTTCTAATCAAGAATCTTAAGATTAGATAGATAGATAGATAGAGTAGAGAGGAGAGAGAGAGAAGAGAGAAAGGGACGACGAAGAGAGAGAGAAAAAAAAAAAAAAAAAAAAAAAAAAAAAAAAAAAAAAAAAAAAAAAAAAAAAAAAAAAAAGAAAAAAGGGGAAAAATGGATGTGTGGTGGATGGTGGCAATGTTGACAAATTGTAATTTACATCAATGGTAATTATCTGATTTAGTGGCCATATTTAAGTTGTGCATGGAACCTCTACTAAAAGCTGGATAGGATACAAGATAGAATCCAATGTCAACCTAAAAATAATTCAGTGGCAATTCTTGAATCAAGGCAATTTTGATTACATTTCTTTGAATCCAAGGCCCAACTTTCACAGGTAAAGGAAGTCACCAAATAATTAATTCTTTTTCCTTTCTCCTTTCAGAGATTTTTTACCACAAGTGACATTCCTTTTGTTTTGGTCATGTACACAATAATTTCATATCAGAAAGGATTTATGTAATGGGCTTGATGACCAAAGGATTCCAATTATTTCAGGAAATATAACGAAGGAAGAAACAAAACAACAACTGGCAACTATAAAATATGGAAAACAATAAAATAAATAATAACAAATTAAAGATTAAAATTGATAATGTAAAATGAAAATATAAATCTTTTACTTTACTTCTCTCAATTCTCTCTTTGTTTTCTTCGTACATGGCTTCCAAGTTCTCTTATAAGTTGAGAGGCATAAGTTC